TACGTCATTTTCAGTGTGTTCTTTTCAGACTTTCAAGCTATCCTGAGATAATTGTCGTGGTTTTACTCAGACTTTCAGCGGTAGCAACCTTCCCCGTCCTTTCAGATCAGCAAACAGATCTCCTGCCACTGTGTCGCCACTGTCCATCCCAGAAGTTGTCCTGTTTCGGGCGCTGCAGGATAGAATGTTTCAGGTCCCTTGACGGTCTACACAATTGTCTTCCTTCTTCAGGTCGATACTGGAAATTTTTGGGTTCCTGTCTAAGGTCCTGCCTTCGTTGTGCTCCTTCCCACTTGCTCTGGTGTTGTGTTATTGCTGGGTATGTCCTCAGTTCGGAACGGCGAGACTTGCTGTCTTCCTCACGAAACGCTTTCAGCTGATATCAATGTTCTCTGCTGGGCTTATCTGAGTTTCTTGTTCCACTGCTGTAAGACGTTCCTTGTCTAAGTCTGGGTTCTTTGAAATAATATTAAACTGCCCGGGGACAGGTGGATACAGTTCAGTGTGCCCACACTCGGATATCTCTGCCCCTCACCAGGGAGCTACACGCTGACTGATCTGGCAGCCTTGACTCTTCCTGTCTGATGTTGCTGATCTACTCCTTTGCTTCTGGCTCGTTTCTTCCGGCAAGCAGAACCGGCCTGATTCCAGCTTGGCGCTAAGGAGCGTATCCAGTTGATACAGCGTCGTCAGATAACCTACCAGTCGCTGTTCAACAGATGGGCCTTCAAGTAAAGCAACATTCACGGTGCCACGGAATGGTGCAAAGCAATTGGTGCAACAGTGTTGCGCAGTGCAAAACTTTCCAAGGTCGCCTCACGGATAGTGAGTCTGACATTAGCCCCCGGATAGACGGACAGACGCGACACGAGTAAAGAACGCCTCTCTCATTTATGTTTCGTGTTGGAACTGCTGCTGCTTTCCAATAAAAATTGGTATCCTGTTGCCTGCATTCGTGCTACATGTTCCGCCCATCTAATTTACAGTCTGAACTTTATAGGAATTTGCTAGGATATTGCGAGTTTTACGAAGAGGAAACCGTTTGAGTTAAACGTTTATTGTAATATCACCCGAGTCGTTTTAAAGTATTTTAGCGTTGCTTGGTTCTGCAAATTATGCGCATGCAGTGTCTCCATTGCGATGTGGTTGAAACTCTTTTAAAATTATTTAATACTTTCAACGGTGTGAACTGTTGTTGTCCCTTCAGTCTGTTGTTAGGTTGTCCATTCCGACAACAAAACCAGTCACGTCACGTGTATCAATCGAACGTTAAGATGACGTCAGAGTCTGACATATAAATTGTTATGCCAATTTCCACATATGAACGTACAAATCACTATCTGACTAACTAACACTAACTAACACTAACAACTAACCCTTCGTCACTCCTCTGCTTGCTGGTTTCTCTCTTTCCTTGCGCATGGCCGGCAAACACTACCGTTTGTTGTACTTTCACACGCGCCCACTGCCACCTGCAGGTCTGGATTTAGAGACAGACGTAAGAAGTCTTTCGGTTTCCGGTTCAGAACTGACAGCGCTGAAACAGCGTTCAGTTGCACTGAATATATTAATGTATTTGAAATTTCTCAGAGGATACAAAATCATAATTCTGAAAACGGGGACTTTCCATTACATTGATGTTTCTCCGACTGCGGTGTGTGGTTCGATACTGGTTCGCATAGAATCAAGAAGGTGTATTTTTAAATATCTCGGCACCTTGAAATATTGTAAATGAAATTCATATTAATAATAATAGCACGTGATTGTACGAAAGTTATTGAAGTGTTTAGGATCAAAATCGTTGCAAGTCTATAGAATGGTGTAGGGTATGGAGGCAGACTGTAGGTATACACGTCTTAAGTCCAATCAGAAACTTCTCCGAGTCGCGTAATTGAAATAACATTAAACATTAAAGTACAGATTTTATTTTCATCTGTAGTTGATTAATGATCACAGCATCACAATCAGGAGTTCTCTGTTATCTTCAATTTTCTCATGATTTTCTTCAGTAACAGATATCAGTTACAATTTAATCTGAAGTAAATTAATGAACAGTCTCCCTGTAAAGTGATTTATCTTACCATTAAGTGCCTCCTGATTTTATTCAGTAATAATTAAAAAGGTAAAGTTGTCCCTGTGCTTAACTAATTAAGTACTCCAAAATGAAGACGTGTGGGGGAATGGATGTATAGGTCCACATTTTCTTGATCTCGGCACTAGCTGGAGGTGAGTGGTCAGCTTCACGCCCCAGCCGCTTTACCCCCCGGTAAAGTGCCTCCGGTATCCATTGTATAGGAGGTCGGGTGGACCCCAGAGCCGGTCTAGACGACATGGAGAAGTGAAAATTCTTTCCCCACCTGGACTCGAACTCCGACCCCTGTCGCCCAGCCCGTAGCCAGTCACTATACCGACTGAGCTATTCCGAATTCCATTCAGTCATAATTACCAATATATAAATTCATCCCATATTAGTGAGCCTCTTGTCACCGCCGCTGGCGCGTCCTCACGTCGCGGATGGAGGAGACGCCCTCCAGGTATGGAGGGTAGTTGCGAATATATTGAATAAGCAGTCGCGGACAGCCGAGAAGAGATGGTCCTCAAGTTTGGAGGCTGGACGTGGGACTAACAACTCCTCGCGGTAAAAATATAAACTTGTTACAAAAGATCACAAGAAGCCTCAGACATGAACGGATTCTTTGGACAAACGACCTAAGCTAAAGAAAATGGATAGGAGAAGTTTGTATAGGGCAGGTTCGCTCAGGGCAGTGGCAGAAGAAATCTCAAAATATAAGTTAGATTTAGCGGGAGTACAGGAGGTCAGATTGGATGGAGGCGGCACCGCACCAGCAGGAGACTCTACATTTTTCTATGGAAAGGGGAATGAAAATCATGAATTAGGTACAGGCTTTTTCGTACATAAGAGAATTATATCAGCAGTTAAGAAGGTAGAGTTTGTTAGTGATAGGATATCATATATAATACTAAAAGGTCGCTGGTGTGATATCGTCGTTATGGATGTTCACGCCCCAACAGAAGATACGAGTAAAACTGATGACATAAAGGATAGATTCTATGAAGAACTAGAACATGTATTTGATAAATTCCCGAAGTGCCCTATGAATTTTTTTAGGAGATTTCAATGCCAAATTAGGGAGGGAAGACATTTTCAAACCAACGACTGGGAATGACAGTTTGCATGAAATTAGTAATGATAATGGAGTTAGAGTAGTAAACTTTGCCACATCAAAAATCTTAGTGTCAAAAGTAGAATGTTCCCACATCATAACATTCATAAATTTACTTGGACGTCTCCTGATGGGAAGATACACAATCAAATAGACCATATTTTGATAGATAGGAGACGGCACTCAAGTATACTTGATGTCCGATCATTCAGGGCAGCAGATTGTGATACTGACCACTACCTGGTGGTGGCAAAGGTTAGGGAAAGACTGGCAGTTAGCAAACAAACAACGCACAGATTTCATATTGAGAGGTTCAATCTCAAGAAATTAAATGAGGCAGAGGGTAAAGAGCAGTATCGTGTTGAAATCTCAAATAGGTTCACGGCTTTGGAAAACTTGGAAACTGAGGTGGATGTTAGTGAAGTTTGGGAAACTATTAGAATATCAAAATTTCTGCCAAGGAGAGTCTAGGTTATTATGAACTGAAGAAGCAAAAGTCATGGTTCAGTGAAGGATGTTCGAAATTATTAGACCAAAGAAAACGAGACAAATTGCAATGGTTACAGGATCCAAGCGAGTTAAATGCGGATAATCTGAAAAGACGCGAAGCCAGCAGCCATTTCAGGAACAAAAAGAGGGAATATCTGAAATACAAAATTGATGAGCTTGCGACGAACAGTAAGAACAAGAACATTAGAGACCTGTAAAGAGGAATAAATGACTTTAAGAGGGTTTTTTTTATTGCTAGTGGGGTGGGAGTTCTGGTTGCACATACCCAGAAACTTAACTAGCGCAAGAATGAATGTGGGTTTGAAGAAACTGCTGTATCAGGTTTAAACTGAATTTATTGGCGTTGGATAATCCTGGATACAGTCGCCAGGCTGCGACACCATATGGGGGTCACTTTGCGGCGATTTTCTTTCCGTCAGTCGGAACGTCACTGGTTTGACCGAGCTCACACGTTTTCATCTGATCTGTGCATCGAAGGGAGTGTCCTTCAGCCACGATAAATATGAGATGCGACTTCAGACTGAAGAAGCCGTCGACTTTTTGTTTCGATTTTCCCACGAGGGCTCATCGCCGAACTGAAAACGCAAATTCCGACGTCGCTATGCCTCGTTGTAATTTCTTGCACCAAATGACTCGCGGTCAGGCGTACTTTCAGTCTCACTGCGTTGTTTGTTGAGTTGTGCAACTGCAGTAAACAACCGGAACTCTGTTGTGCGTCCTCCACGACCGACGACATTGAAACATCGGATTAAGACCCCTGCATTTATATGCAGATCTGTGTTACAGAAGACATCAAGAATACCACATTACAGGTAACGCTCCTGTGTTCATTTTGCTGAATACTACCAATTTCTGGTTGTTACTCCTAATATAGAAGTTGTTTTGTGTTTTGTTTGTTTCAAGTCCCCGCTCATATCTTGTGCCTCACCGTAGAGCGAGTGAAACAAAGAATTGTGCGAGCCCGAAATTTGTGTCATTGTCTTTGTGTGACGTCTCAAAAGCTGCAGGAGCTAGTTACAGAATTAGTACAGTCAAACAGAAAATGAAGGATAGCCCTTCAGAGATGTGTGACAGACATACTGAAAGATACAGTACGGCACGATAGATGCGTAGGATACTACTACTACTACTACTACTACTACTACTACTACTACTACTACTACTAATAATAATAATAATAATAATAGTAAAGGGAACAGGCCTGAAGACGTAGGCCTTAAAGGCTGAAGAGGAAGAGGAAGGAGAGGAAGCGGTAGAAGAGGAAGAGGAAGACTAGGTGAAGCAAGAAACAACATCGACACGAACCCTCGGACGTTTGGTTGGACGGCAACGCCTCGTCGGGGAACTGGACGTGTTTAATGCTGGGTCGCTGCGAGCGGCTCCCGTCGTCAGGTAGGAGCAGCGTCGAATGCGGCGCCGTGGGGCTCTGCGTCGTCTCGTGGTACGTGGCCGGTCTTCGTGTACTCAGACAGCTTGTAGCCGTCGCCCGGGGCGTGTAGCGTACTTGTGGAGCCTGCAACATTGCGGAGGTCAGGGTGTGGCAGTGCAGCGCGGCGCATTGTGAGGCTTGGGCAACGCTCTGCATGGCGCACCCCCTCAGTGGGTCGCGCGCACTTCCGATGGTTTGGATTCATTGCCACATCTGATCCTGATGATGGAGGCAGATATGTTCCCCGAAACTTTGAACCAACTGATGCGACCGGAAGCCCGAGAAGATTTCGTTAGTGTAACAAGTCCTGCGAACCCAGTGACATGCAAGCAGATGTACCACAGTACACAGGGTGTCCCAGGAGGAAAGGTCAGTATTCTGGGCTGCCATAGTTTCGGTCATTCTGAGCAAAACAGCGTACATGTGCATGTGATCTGTTCCTAACGGTTTCCGAGATACAGCTGTTTCACTGGACACTGTACAGACGAGCAACACGCCATGTCCTCACACGAGTTGCAAAGTGCATTGGTGACGGTGGAATTTTCGAAAATGTGTTGCACTAGGTAAACTGTACCAACTTTGTCACGTGAACAATAAATACCGGTATTAGAAACAGTACGTAATATCTCTTTCTTATCAACAGTTTTGGTACTGTACAGTGAAATAGCTATCTCGGAAACCGTTCGGAACAGAACACATGTACATACTATACACTTTTGCTTAGAATGACCGATACTATGACCTCCCAGAATATTGACCTTTCCTCGTGGGACACTCTGTATAGCGTATGCATCACTGTAATTTCCCTCTCTTGTGAACTTTTAGCGAAAGAGCCAGAAATACACTTAGGCCCATATGTACAGCTGTGATCTGTTGTGGGCACGGTTATGAATTTTGTGTGTCCATGAAAGATGGGGGATTTCTGAGCCTCTGTTGACTTCTCAAGAAGGGCCCTGCGCCGTGGAGGCACTTCATGGGGCTACTATGGGACTTGAACACAGTTGAACAGCACTGTATTCTGGGATGTGACGCCTTGTACCAGCGCTTCGGAAGAACATACTGCCTCCATCTTCAGGCTTCAAGGCCAAGCCGAGTAAATGATCATCTTAGAAAGAGACTTTGCTTGCCTTCTGCTTGGCTTATTTGTCGACCTTGAAGAACAAGGCAGCATTTCCCTATCAAATATTGGTACACTTCTACCAGAATACACGGCACACATCCCAGAAGATAGCCCTGTTCATAGTCAGAGCTGTAACGACGTCAGACCCTACAGAATGCGGTAAGATTACGTACCATCCGCCCGAGGAAGGCGCCGCTGTTCGCAGTCCCCCGGCCTGCCTTGTACTCCTGGTATTGCGATATCACGCATAGCAGGGAGTAGACCTGTAACAGGGGCACACTGTGTCTAGCAAATCCGTCAGGGTGTGTGGTCGTCGTTAGAAAGTTGCTAGATTCTATTTTGACCAGAGCACGGGAACCGGAGATCTCTTTCTTTCCTACGGTTCCTTGTTCACGGCGTGCCTTTCAGACAGTCAGCAGCTTGCATATGAAAGCCTGTTTGCGTGCAAAGAGGATGTACAGTCCTGTCATTCTGTGTCCGGCCCTTTGAGCTATGATGGGAGGATACAGCTGACTCACATAACTGTGCTTCTGTTCTTAAAGTTGTAGTGCCAGTTCTTACATAACTGAATTATACTAAATGTGTTTGTAAGCATAACGCTAAATAGATGCCGCGTTGCTCCACGCAGCACCTGGCAGACATATTCGCGATGACACATACGTCACTGCTTTACGCACCCACTCTTAGTTTCTAGAGCCGGACACAGGATAAGTGGACAGTAGTTACCATGTCATGAAGTGACTGGAAGGCCATGTTGTGGGCCATGTAGTGTTGGCTGATGCATCCATTTAGGCTACTCTCCATTACACAATTAAGTAAAGAGTGCATTTGTTTTCCGATACTCGTGGGTGCTAGGAGGCTGTTGGTGACACGTAATGGTCTTTTTGGGAAAATGGCTGAATGTTGTTCAGTTAGCGATGGTTATACAAGGTGTGTCCCAAAAGTCATGATATATATATTTTTTTAATTTATTAATGATATCGGTACAAAGTGTTAATATTCTTCAAAGTACTGTCCATGAGCATCTACACATTTTTTCCACCGACTCTCCCATGCCCGGTACGCCCCCTCAAAGGCCTCGACGGGAACCTCATTTAAAGCTGTTGTCACGGCCGCTTGGATAGCCTGAATGCTTTCAAAACGGCGTCCTTTGAGTGCAGTCTTGATCCTCGGGAACAAAAAGAAGTCGGCCGGAGCTAGGTCGGGGCTGTGGGGTGGCTGCAGCAGCGTTGCCACGTGGTGCTTCACCAGGAACTCACGGACGAGCAGAGACGTGTGGCTGGGCGCATTGTCATGATGCAGCCGCCAGTTAGCGGCGATGTCTTTTCGCACGCGGATGACCCTTTTCCTTAATCTTTCTAGAACATCCACGTAGTAGGAAGCGTTGACCGTCTGTTCTTGGGGTAAAAACTCTTTGTGGACCACACCCTTGGCGTCGAAAAAGACGACGAGCATTGTTTTCACTTTGGATTTGCTCATCTTCGCCTTCTTCGGTTTCGGGGAAGCCGAGGTGTGCCATTCAGCACTCTGGCGCTTCGTTTCTGGGTCGTACTCAAATGTCCACGTTTCATCACCGGTAATAACACAGTCTAAATAATGAGGTTCAATTTCCACACGTTCCTTCACTTCACTCGCGATCAACACTCGATTGGCCTTTTACTCGCCCGTCAACAATTTGGGGACCAGCTTGGCGCACACCTTTCGCATGTTCAATTCGTCCATAACGATGCAATGCACACGGTTTTCGGAATGTTCAGAGTGTCGGCTAACAACAGTCATTCGACGGTCAGTATTCAACAAATCACGCACACGAGTCACATTTTCATCGGTTTGGCTTGTTGATGGTCGTCCAAAGCGGGGGTCATCTTCCACTTCTTCCTGGCCCTCCTTAAACTTCTTCACCCACCTTGTAACTTGCACATATGATAGAGCAGACTCCCCGTATTTTTGATTCATATCATTATGGCAGCTGCTGTGTGCTAACAAGAGTTCTGGAACGACAGCCTGTTAGTTGTAAGTAGTGTGAAACTTCACTGAGAACGTGTTTCCTTGGGTCGCTGTAAGGTTCATTCAGTTTCTCAGGTTATTTTGAGATACCGTAAGCATTGTTAACTTACTCTTGTTTGGGGCATCAGTACTTCCACTTATATTGAATCGTATTTTACCGCCCCAAAGAGATAAATACGCGAATATCTGGGGAACTGTATATCATTGTTTGTTATACTTCATTCATTATACGCTAAACCAACTGTTAAGCAATGTTTTATATACAAGATTTGAGGTTTTCACGGAGGTGACTATGAAGAATGCCGCCTTATGGGATGTGGCGCCCTGTAGATATTGTATAAACCGACGTATCGGAGGAACATATCATCTCCATCTTCAGGGTAGAAGAAAAAAAGAAAAAATATGAGTGCGAGGAACCTGCAGCCACCTGATCACCGAAACGTCGATTTATGCATTGTCTACACGGCGCCACATGTATGAAAACTTCTGTTCACATTTGAGTACATACTTCAAAAGACACATGGGATTCCTCTTCTCCCCCATTCGTGCTACATGCCTGCCCATCTCTACCTCTTTGACTTCATGATTCTAATTATACTTGGAGAAGAGTACAAGTTATGAAGCTCCTCATTATGCAGTTTTCTCCAACCTCCTGTCACTTCATCTCTCTTCGGTCCAAATATTCTTTACACCCTGTTCTCAAACACCCTCAGTCTGTGTTCCTCCCTTAATGTCAGAGACCAAGTTTCACACCCATACAGAACTACAGGCAAAATTATAGTTCTATATATTCTAATTTTTATGTTTTGCGGACAGCAGACGAGAGGACGGAAGGTTCTGGACTGAGTTGGAGCAAGCATTGCCCGAGTTCTGTTAGCAGCACAGTGTGCGTGTTGCAGAGTCCGGAAGATTTAGATACAGGAAAGCGAAAAGTGCGGATATGAGACTGCAGGTAAACGAAAGGCACTAAACGTTAAAAGATGACATGCTGGGGGGGGGGCATGCTGGACCCTGGACGAGTAAACAGAATCAGACCAAGTGTAAACTGAGCAGATTGGTTTAGTGATGGGGCCGGCAGAATATTGCACGTACTACCTGGTACACAAGCCGCGCCGATATTTTGCTGAAGACATCTTCTGTGGACTTGTATTGAGACATAGGGTTCCTGTAATTTTTTTAAATTTCATCGAAGTCGTTAGAACTAATTTCGAGAATATCGCGGTGTTGTTTTTCGGGGCTTATTTGAAGAGCTCAGTGTGTTTTAGAATGTTCACATCCACCGAACACCGACCTATGATGGATAAACCTTTGAATAGGGAACATGAATAAAAGATATCGAGCCGTTCAGGCGCTGGCAAGGCGCACGCGCATACATACAGAGAGAATATTCTAAAAAGTATTTGTGGTGGGGAGGAGCTCCAAAATGAGAAAGCAAAAGAGAAACTTCTCTTAATTCTTCCAGTATTTTGATTGGTAATTGGATCCAGTGAACAGTTTTATTGCTTGTGATTATACTTCACAGATCACTGTCACACACAGACTTGTGTTCTCAGTCACGTTGCCTGGTAGCGGCCTCGACAGTGTAGCGTCATCTGCTTCCGAGTCCAGCGACTCCTGTCCTCGCTGTGTGGCACTTTCAGCTGCAACTGTTGAACTCAACTGACTCACAGACCAATCCAGTAAATTGCTGCAGGTTCTCGCCAGCACAGTGATTCTTGTTTCCGAGTTCCACGGGACCCATGCCCATATATTACTGTCTGACGTCTCTTGAAGCCTTCAAACCACGGACTGTCTTAACTAATCCGCAGAGTATGTGTCACTTTACGACTTGTAGTTTACCGCCAGTCAGTTCATCTTGGCGCCAAGCCCAAGTACAGATTGATTCCATATGTAACCTCGGTACGTACCTCATAGAGAACACCACTTCCAACAGTTTTTTTATTGCTTGTGGGGTGGGACTAAGTCCCTTGTACTGCAGCCACTTCTGGCCTATTGTACCAGCCCCAGATGATAGGTGAGGATGATTATGGAACAATTGGTGGAATGAAGATTGGCAGGGGAAACCGAAGTAATCTGAGAAAACCTGCCCCAGCGCCAGTTTGTCCACCACAAATCCCACTTGACCAGACCCGGGATCGAACCCGGGCCGCCGCGATGGGAAGCCAGCAACTAACCGCTTGAGCTATGGCGCGGTCTCTTCCTATAGTTACTCCACTGTTGTGTTATACAGCCGTTGCCTATTGACGGTTTCCCTGGCTCCACAATTCCTACTTTGAGCAAGTATATAACAGTACGTTGACTTTTCCTACACCAAAGCCCGTATGGTCCCGTACTCTTCTAGAAGTCTGTAAACACAGACTGGTGGGCAAGATGTGACCAGAACACACAGCGTCGCGGCGCCATTAGACTACAGTGTGCAAGGATAGATCAGTGGGAGGGTTATCTGCGGAGACCGTCGCTACAGCTGGAGGGAACCGCTGCGTTTCGCTCGCTCCATTCCGAGTAAGCTGGTGGAATTGCAACACTCGAGAATTGTATTCGGGAGGTTCTCGGTTCGATATCCTGATCGAACCCACTCCTGGTTTTCCCCAGTCTCTCCGTGCAAATTCCGGCCTAGTACCTATCTGTTATCCTACCAGCAGAGGCTACACAGTTTACATGCTATCAGCATCATAAAATAAAGCACAAACTAACTCCACGGAGCACAGCCCTTCTTGAGAAGCTAATAGTTCCTCAGCTACTAAAGGAATTATCAGAAATTCGCAAGATCACTCGTCTGGCCCCTATCCTGAGCCAGAAAAACCCAGTCCACTTCTTCCCATTCTATTTCTTAAAGATACATTCTAATATTATCCTGCAATCTACTGCTTTGTCTTCCTAATGATCTCTTTCCTTTAGGATTTTCTACCAAAAGTCTGTATGCTCTTCTCTTCCAGAAGCGAAGCTGCCAGTAGGTATACCTCCACTCCCCCATACGTCTTCATGGTGTTTTGCTTTAGTTAAGCACATTGACAACTTTACATTTCTGCCTTAAGGCGTGATTGCTTGTTCATGATAGTAATACGTATTAACGTTAACCGCTTGAAGACTGAAATTCTTATAAATAATTTTTGAAATTGTCGTACTCTATAGAAAACACACTGCGTCACCATTACTGAGTCTAACTCTACCTTGGGAAGCAGTACATGAGAATCCTACACTCCGTTTTGGAGGTGAGTACAGAAACTTTCGGTGCTACAGTATGTGGTGCACATGGTTACCACTCTGTTTTAAAGGGTTAATGCCTCCAATAAAATCCTTTCACACAAATCTTTCGCTGATTTGAGGTCGTCTGACTTGCTTGATCCTTCAGCACGTGTCCCGGCGGCTCACTCGGTGTAGCAGCGGGGCTGTGTAATTACATGTCATCTGGCCATTTGCATATCAGCCCGCCAGTCAAAAGGATTCAAAAGGGGGGAATTATGCCTATCAGAGCGATCGTTAAAACTGTTTTGTGTGTGAAATTAATTCAGCAGCTTCTGTTTTATTCGAGCGAGGCTTCCAGTTAATTTGAATGTCAAATATTTGAAGAGAAATCGTTAAAACAGCGAAGGTTCTTTATTTGTTGTGCGCGTGTACAGGCCGTGTTTGTGGACCTGGCCGCGCACAACTGAATGCGCAGTAGATCTGGTCGAGTCCACTGACATTAGCACAATAGGTGTGTAGGAGATGTAGCAGGGTCTAGCTGCAGCGTGCGTCCTCCTTGTCGCGACAAAGCTGCAACCACTGTCCCGCCACTTCTAGACATTCTCCTTACTAAGAACTCCGCTTGACTAATATATTAAATGTGACATTTTAATGGGAGATTGTTATGATCGTCAGTATCATTATTTAATCTGGTAAGGTAAAAGGTAAAGTTGTCCCTGTGGTTAACTAATTTAGCCCTACACCATGAAGGCGTATGGGGAGTGGATGTATAGATCCACATTTTCTTGACCTCGGCAGTAGTTGCAGGTGAGTGGTCAGCTTCACGACCCGGCCACTTTACCCCCGGTACCCATTGGATAGGAGGTTGGGTGGACGCCAGAGCAGGCCTGGGGGACGTGAAGAAGAGAAAATTTTTGCTCCACCGGGACTCGAACTCCTACTCTTCCGTCTTCCAGCCCGTAGCCAGTCGCTATACCGACTGAGCTATCCCGAACATAAAATATACAAATAGACCATTTTCTGTGCCCATAATCATGTCCTGAACAGTCATAACATGTGCCTGATAGTTTTTGAAAGACACCTACGTGTATAGCGAGGTAAAAAAAAAAGGTAAAGCTATCCCTGTACCAGGCCGTGGAGGCCCATTGGGTTGTGAGACGTCGAGGGTCCCACATTATCTAGAAAATCGGCTCAAAGATGGTGGTAAGGTTGTCAGCCTTACACGCCGGCCGCGCTTTACTCCCCTGGAAAGTTATTTAATTAAATCCTGGTACTCATTTCTGTTAGAGGCTGAGTCAACCCCAGGGCCACAGTGCGGCTGGAAGGATTAGGTTAATTGAAAAAAATATCCAATGACCTCATCGGGACTTGAACCCGCCACCTTTCGGCTTGTATAGCGAGGTAGAATAATATACAGTGGGTGATGCTGCTGTCTAGAGGAAACTCTTGAGTCAGAGGTGGACAGTAGCACACCCAGCATACCCAGTAACTATCAGAAGCGGCCAGCCTTACTGTATAATGGCCTCCAGTCCGTTACACGTCTGGTTAGTGAACCAGAATGCTAACCGTGTTCCTGGAGAGATCTGACGTTCCCACGTCTGTGACTGAAGATTATTTTTTTGTGGGATGTGGCGCCGTTTAGTCCGCTTGACGTTCGTTACCGACCGAGGAACAGAGGCATATGTGAAGCATCTGGAATGCGGCTGAAGTAAGTGCTGCCGTCTGGCGGTAACGACGTTAAGTGCGTCATTGGGACCCAGGCGGTGAAGGGGGGCAGGGTTGTGCATGTTTCAGAGGACCAGCTTTGGGAGAAACGGCCCCAACGGGACATGAAGAGTGCAGTATCGTTCTGTGTGCCCGTGCAGAAGAACAAACGCAACAGGTTATGCTGGGAAATACGTGGCAATCTTGGGTTGAAGAAAGATAAAGTTAATGTTGGGCTTAATTAAGTACCACACTATGAAGACGTATAGGGGATTGGAGGCATAGCTCCACCATTCTTAACATCGGCACAAAATAGAGGTGAGTGTTCAGCTTTACACCCTGTCCGCTTTACTCCCGGGGAAGGAGCCCCCGCTGCCCATTGGACCCATTGGACGCTGTGGGGACCGTCCCATATTGGGCCATAATTTGTAAGTCATAAAAATGACATTTTGGCGTATTTACTTTTATTCAAAGCCATATGATGCTTAAGAATATGTTTATGGTGCTTCAGGCATAAAATTTAATGTTTTCTCGGAGGCCTTCCGGATCTTAAGAGAACAGTGTTCAGTAATTTTATTATTATAGAACTTAAAAACTCCGTGGCGTGTAGTTCGCAAGCGAACTATACCGACCAAGCGACCTCCGCTTGTCGGCGAAGTTAGTGCCAACTTCAGCGGATAGAGGGCGTCGCGTGGTCAGCGCAACGAATCCCCCACAGCCAATAATTTCGGTTTTATAGACCGGAGCAGCTATTTCCTTGAAAAACCCCAGTTTTCTTCACGAGGCTCAGTGGACCCCGTTCCAGACCCACCACTTCTCAGAAAATTTTATTATCATATTTTTATTAAAAGCATTTCATATTAGGCAACGTTTCTCTAGTGCCTCCTTCAGGTTCGAATATATGCCAAGCAAACAATGATCAAGAAACAGGTAGCAAGCTGACAACACGGCGTCACCTTCCATAAAGTGATAACTTTCCTAGTCACTGCTGAGCGGATCTGAGATCCAAGAAACAGCTGACCTTCCACCTGTCCTGCAAATATAGATGTTTCGGAGGGTTACGGGCGGAGCAGCTCTCCTGTTCCTGCCTTCACTTAATTAAGTCACGAGTTTGTTTGCGCCCGCTCATGCTGCAACGTGCGGCACCCCATCCCACGGTAAGGCAGGTTAACCAGGAGCAAAGAGGAGAGGCTTGACCTAATTACAGCTGAGAGTAAAGTGCACTTCTTCGGGAGAATTGGTGCCTCAAGGTCAAATGTGTTTTCAGGCATTACTCTCTTACAAGGCGTCTTGACACTTGGTCTGCATAGCGCAACTTGAAGGATCAGAATCTTGTACGCATGCGCAGCCTGTCCCATCAGTGTGGCTGTGCCTTTGTTTCCCGCCTACTTACGTTTCTATGCATATACCTGTCCGTCCGTCCGTCCTTGTGCCAGACGACGAGACCTGACAATATGGCTGAGATGATTCAATCGGTATCACTTATGAATTGTGCATGCCAGGTCGCCGGTTTGAATCTCGACCGGGGCATTTTTTGCTCCTCAGTACCCCCAGGAAAATTATAGCAGAGTACTTTAAAATAGGCTGGGACAACTCCTTTCATATCCTTTCCAGTTCATTATTCACGGTTACCCGTGCACGCTACACTATATTGTCTCAGTTACTGACCAGGGTGATGTGGAAAGATACTTACGTTCAGACAGAGCAGGAAGAAGTCCAGTGTGAACAACATGGCTGTCAGCGGGTTGAACCTCGTCTGCAAGCAAGGAACAAAGTTAGGTGCTTCGCCTTTCTCAGAGAAAGGAGCCGATACAGAAGCCAGGTTTCCGAGTAACATTTAATTTCAGACGTTCTGTGTGCTGCATACTTGTTGCTATGGCAACTGGGGGGCACACCAGAGCGAAAGCGTCACAAGTGCTTAATATTAAATCACCACACAATAAACCTATGATTGAGGGCGTTTCGCTATCAGAGATATTACAAGTCTTGTATAACAGAAGTATGATACAGAAATATGAGAAAAGTAAAGGTAAAGCTATCCCTGTAACAGGCGTGGAGGCCCATAGGGCTGTGAGACGTCGAGGCTCCCACGTTTTGTAGATAATCGGCTCATAGTTGGCGGTGATGTTGTCAGTCTTAAGCGCCTGCCGATCTGTACCCCCAGCTGGAAGAATTGGGTTAATTGAAATATCAGCCTCATCGGGACTCGAACCCGCGACCTTCCGACTTGTAGCATAGTGCCTCAACCAACTACGCTACCGCGTGCCCCCGGAGAATATATATATATATATACTTTGCATTATTTCGAATATAAGACGCATATATTACATATTTTTTCCCCGTTGAAAAATTGAGGGTAATCTCAAATTCGAGAAATGTGCACTTTTCTATTTTTTTCCCCCTAAAACCTCCAATCAAAAACTGGATGTGTCTTAAACTCGAGGTCATCTTATATTCGAAGTAATACGGTACATGTATGTATACATATAACATTTTTAAATATATGTACTAGAAATATGTTATGTTTGTATCAAATTTCATGAAAGTCAGTCGGTTCAGGAGCTGAAAGGGACAAAACCCACAAAGACAGCATGGCGATCCCATAAGCCTGTTTACTTTTCCTTTTGCGAAAGGAAAAAAAAAACGAAAAAGAGAAATGTTCGGCTTTGGCGCAGAAACGCAGTGCGCCAGATATACAGCACCGCTGTGCTTATCTGTTACTCGGCTCCACGGCTGTCTGGGAACTTCGCCCTCCGTCACGCTTCTCTGTCCTCATCACTCGAATTTCAGTTCTCGTACATCATTCTCTACATCTTCCAGTCACCTCAGTCTGACCTGCCCACTTTTCTTCAGCCCTCTTTCAAGATAATTCTTAGGCATACTGTTTCATCCCTTCCAATCACAATCCCTAATCCCTCTAACCATGTGTTAACATCCGCGACCAGATAAAGGGATTCATATAACACTCTCGGTCAGTAGAGCGGGAAGCCGCTGCTGGTTTCTGCTAGTCCGCCACTCACACCTCGACGAGGCTCACGAGGGAACTTAACTGCAGCACGAACAACGATAAAAGAGACGCGCATATAATTTTGTGGTTTATCGGGTTTATCATCCACAAAAATGTGGCTCGCTAGTAAGACACGCAGTGGGCAGATTACCGGACGTTTCGATAGCTTAGAATCAGAGTCCTGAGTTCTGCCATCAGCACTACCATCATGCGTAATGCTGTCTGTGTTGTTCGACCCTCGCATTTTCCCCGTCCTGTTCGTCTTTTGGTGCGGGTTTCTTTTCCACGATCGTCTTAGGGACGCGTCGAGTTAAATCGAGCTGTTTCCACACAGCTACACGGCTGATCGATAAGGAAATCGATTGTTGCAAGGGGCCCAAAATGGTAAAGACCGAATCCAGTAACGCCGAGAGAGAGATTATGCTTTTAAGACAACGATCATCTGTGATGTGACGCCGTGCAGTATGGTAGAAGTTTACAGATGTTTTACATGAAAGTACTGCTTTCGTCTTCAAGGTCGAAGAGCTTTGGTTTCTTGCTTATCCTGAAGACGGAGGCAGTACCTTACTCGAAATGTCTGTAACCTTTTAACAGACTACACGGCGTCACATTCTAGACTATTTTATTTCTTAATCACAGCGAAAGCAGGCTCCTGTCGCGAGCAATCGTTTTGCGTGCTTGGTGAGCTAAGCGGATGCCACGCAGAGCGAAGTTAACTTTTCTTCTATCAGAAAGCGGTTCGGTCGCGCTCGATACTACTCGTCAACTCTTTGAATTCCTGAAATTGAAAATGAACACGCTGTTCGTAATTATTTCGGTTGTCATCTGTGGCAAAGCAGTCACAAGCTTACGTGTGCCTTAATGGAAACACGGCTGCAACTGTAATGGGTCTTTTGACACGACCGCAGTTGCGACATCTGCAGCAGTTCGCTGTGTTTCGTGGAACTCGGGCGGGAACGCCGTGCACGCCCATCTGTATCGGCGCTGCCGAGCGTCGGGTTCCTGACGTGTCTCACACCGAGCCGGGGGTGACCGATTCCAGTCGAATATCGACACACGGGTCATCCTGACAGGTTTTCGGAGTTCCCAGAGGTCCCGATTAGTGGGTCTGGAACGGGGTCCACTCACCCTCGCGAGGATAATTGAGGAGCTGTTTCAAGGAAATAGCGGCTCCTGTCTAGAAAACCGAAATTAACGGCCGTGGGGATTCTTTGCGCTGACCACGCGACACCCTCTATCCCCTAAAGTTTGCACTAACTTCGCCGACAAGCTGCAGTCGCTCGGTCCGTATAGTTCGCTTGCAGACTACAGGCCACGGAGTTTGTTTGCTTGTTCCAGAGATTCTGGGATATTACCTCTTATTAGGCCATGAATGTTTGCTTCGTAACACTTCTTCACTCATCTGTGATACTGCGACACGACACACAGAAAATGACTGGTAAGAACAAGTCAGTGTCACTTGAAGCAGTTACGTATTTAAGAGCTTGGATAGCTCAGTCAGTGTAATGTGGGGTGAGGAATGAGGGTTCGATACCCGGCCGAGGCACAGATCTACGTCACGACAGAGAGCAGACCGGCTCAGGGCCAACCTCATAGCTTCCCGCTGTGTCACGCGTTCCTGAGGTAAAGCTACCGAGACGTGAAGCTGATTACTTGTCTCCACCTGATGTCGAGGCTAAGAACACACCTCCACTCTCCCATCCGCCTTCATTTTGTGGTGCATGATTTAGCACAGGGACAGTTTTATTTGTATCTTAGAAGGGTAGGACTTCATGTCGCTGCCGTAAGTTTCACTCATTTCTGAAACGTGACCTGAAGATGGCTGCTTTATCAGCCGCCAAAACAACTTACCGTCTGGAGGACGAAGAGGTAGACGCTGTGCGTTACGTCGACGCACATTGTGAGCAGGACTGTCAGGATCCAGGGCACCAGGAAGGCCCTCTGGTCCTGCGAACAGAAGAAAGGCGAAGCGTTACGTCACAGGAGCGGTAGCGCTATAATTGATTGTGATTAAGAGAGATTGTAAAAGAACTTAATAATCCAGAACCCGTTATTATTCGTCACGGATCCCCGGACATGTGACAATACTGATTAGGGAAACAATTGCTGTTAACTGTGAGAACCATACGGAACACACCCTGTGGTCAGAATCCAGATTTTAATGTGTTAAAGCAGGTGGTTCCTATATTGACCTCAGGGTTTTAAACAGGAGAAAACATTACCTTTATCTTACTGCAGTCTGAAACCCGTTTGTCATTCACAGCATGCTGTCAATTTAGCGACTTACTTTATAAACACCTTGTAGTGCCAGAACTCGTAAAGAACCTGTCAGTGGGACTGCGGATTAGGGTGACAGTGTCCACCCTACTAGCGACGTGCGCTGGAAGCCAAGAAGGACTCGGCGTGTTTTGAAACAGTAATGTGCTTACGTGAGAATTTCGAAATAGAGATACACTCATGAACCCCTCTCTGGGTACTCAGAATTACTGGGTTGTTGGACTTTGTCTGACGTCCGGTATTCTAAAATCTAAAGAACACAACGTTTCGGAGCCTGAATCTGTTTCCCTCCTCAGGTGAGAGGGAGACACATACTCTGATGGGTCCCTTAGAAAGATCTAACCTCAATCACTGGACATTGACAGAAGTCGCGGGGTTCGATTTCCGATGATGTCACTGGATTTTTCAGTTGACCTAATCCTTCCTGCTATGCCCCAGGGGGTCGACTCAGCCTCTAACAGAAATGAGTACCAAGAATTTTCCACGGGGTGAAGGGTGGTCGGCGCTTAAGGCTGACGTCCTCACCGCCATCTGTGAGCCAGTAAGGCAGTAACTGGCAGAATCAAAAATGGCGACGGTAATCCAGTGTTCCCGAGTCTGTGCTGGTGACAAGTCCCGGTGGTGTAACCGCCAAAAATTATAGGAACATTTATATGTTTGACCATATTTTGATCTGTTACTTGGGGTTTTAAGCAAGCGAGCATGTCGCGGGGCTTGGGGCAGGAGATCTGAGAGTAAGGCAGTTTCTGCCCCCATAAGTCAAGTCGAGAGGGGTCGAGCCGGTCGGGGCTGATGGCTTGCAGATGTGGCAATGCATTGCATAGGAAGACGTGACTTTCGTCGGGTTTAACTCATAGAAATGGCTACATTTTGTGTACGGGTGAGGAACTCTGTTCGAACCCAGCCAATTGGCGATGAGGGACCTGCGTTAGCGTCGGACGCTACTGCTTGGAGGTGATGCGTCGCTGGTACGAGTCATCTCGGTTGGAGGGGGGATTTCTGTTTCAAATACACCGGACAACGGACGTGTTTTACGACTTCAGAAATTCGTTATTATAATTGAATACCAGTAGTGACTGAACTGATGCGAGGTACAACTGGACCATATCATTACGCCTCGCCGCTTCTGATAATTAATTATCCATTGTTAAGAGTATAAACTAGTAAAGTTAAAACAGATACATTTACCATGAAAATGAATCATTTTGGCTTGTCGTATGGCGTATGATCGGTGTGTTTCCCCGTTAATGCGACCCTTGATAGCTGATTTACCTATCTTTACCCATGGACACGTCAGGTAACACCCGTCAAGCAGAACGGTTGGGCACATGGCGAGGTTATCGTGCGAAAATATTGATTCTTTGAAGCCTCTGCCAAACACGTAAACTCATGGCTCTTCCACTAGTTGGGACCGCATGGAGTCGGCGATAGGATGATTTATAAATTGGAAAGGATTTGGAAAAAAGAGGTCCTGGTCTAATGGAAGAAATATCCGAACTTCTGCCCCCTGGGGAGGGGGCAACCGTTAGAATTCTCTCTCAGGATAAACGGACGTTCTGGCCGGGATTCGAATCCAGCACCTGCCAAATACAGATTTAGATAATTACAGTTATACAATCCCATGAGGAGCCAGCCCCAAGCTCCGGCCGCTTCTCACGCCACGGTCCGGAAGTTACGAACGACTTGTGGTGAAACGTTGACGGGGCTGCCAGAGTAACGTCGGTGAAGTTTGCCTTTTAAACGCTTGTCAGTTCATTCCATTTGGAACGCCAGGAAGGCATGCAACACGCAAGATCGATATCGCCTCGTCACGGCTGTGCATAATCGGTGGACTGCACATCGGCCAGTTAATGGCCATGTTTATTGCTTATTGGCTTTGTTGATTTATAGTTAACCATGTAGAATTCTCTAAACGAGTTGCGTGCTGAAATTGCATCAAACTACATGTATGTACGGCCCGGTTTAGCGTTCAGAGCCTATGCATTCTGCCTGCACAGAGAATTTATGGGTTCCGAATGACTTTCAGAGGGGGCACGCGGCAGCATAGTTGGTTGAGACATTATGCTACAAGCGGGTTGGTCAAATGGTTTTTCAGTTGATCTAATCCTTCCAGCCGTACTATGACCGTCAGGTTGACTCAGCCTCTAACAGAAATGAGTACGAAGAATCTTCCTAGGGGTAAAGGGTGGTCGGTATGTAAGGCTGACAACTTCACCTCCATATGTCACCCAATTGTCTAGAAAATGTGGGAGCCTCGACGTCTCACAACCTTATGGGCCTCCACGGCCTGTTGCAAGAATAGCTTTACCTATGATTCTAAGAATAAACAGCGTTAACCGGTTGGGCGTGGGTTAACCATAATACAGTAATAATATAATAAACAATAATAAACAGAGTTTCCATTTTTATAATAATCTGTGTCCTATGCAAATATTAACAGTTATGAATAACGAAATTCGAGGATGCGTTGTGTTTGGTGGCGATGTTTTCTGTTTTTGGCGCTCGAGCACTTGTTATTATCGCATGCAAACAAAACTGCCCCCGTACAGTCCGATGGTGTTGATAACACTTGACATTTTTATGTGAGTTCCAATTGTTTACTGTTTACCAAACATACATTCCCGCAAAGTAAACAATCGAGTTTTTACAAATAAAAATATAAACTCAAATTGTAATTTGTTTCGCCGAGTTTCGGATCGGATGGATGGTTTCTCGCTTGCAGAGTTGTAGCGCCCAAATTGGGCCCCGCTCCCGTCCCTTCCCCCGCCCTGTTTAGACGAAAATGTCGGACAAGCAAGTTGGTGTAGCGGCATTTGGTATCTAGGTCAGGTCACCGGCTGTTATGACTGAGACTCTTCATGGATTTCCTCAGAACCTCCACACGCATACGGGGACAATACCTTAAACTAGGCCACAACCGCCTCCTTACAAATCCCTTCCAATCTCTAGTTCAGTGTCGTTCAACTATGAGCTGTCATGTGGACCGAACTGCTCACAGCGCATGCGTCCTACCCTTTGGTTATTACTGGGGTGTTGCCGCCCCCTGTACTCATCCTGGGGTCGTCCAATGGCGTCGGGGGTGTGCAAATGAAATGTCGGTCTCGGAAAATGTTCAGATCTGGTTCCATAGCAACGCTGAACACTGAACATGACATTTGAGGCTTTGACAGTGTCAAATGCAAGAAGTAATATCTTTTGGGGCGTACAGCGTGTAGCCCGGTAGAAGTTTACGGACGTTTCGGAAGAACGTACTACCTCTGTTTTCAATGTCGGCGATTTTTTCGAACGATACTCTGTGACGTTGTAGCAGTTGGCACGCAAAGTCGAATTTCAAACGTAGCATACACACAGTTATGCTTCGTTTTCAGATACATCAGCCATGAACTCGTGGATAAGTCTTTCTTGAGAATCTGTTAGTAGTTCAGCTGGTCATGGAATTGCCGCTTATTTATTTGGATCCAGTTTAATGTTATCCTATTTTTACGTCTCGATTACCCAATTTGTCTTTCCTTTCACGGTTTAGGTACAGACAGCATCAAAATAACTATCGCGATAATTTGCATGTGTATTGAGACAGGTCACTCTGAATTGTGACCAGAGTGAAGACGGCAGACACAGTGACATTAAGACGGGACGCTGCAACTTCATCTTACTCCCAAATTAATGACCGTGTCTTTTAAATTACCCGCACTTGAATCAGCCCTTGAAGCACGTGTATACTAAGCACATTAACATTTAGAATTCCTCATTTTGTCCAGAGCGCATTTATATGCGTCATGCGAGTATGAAAATAACCAAATGTTTCTTCCATGACGGGGGCACGCGGTACTGCAGTTCGGTTGAGGCACTGCTACAATCCGGAAGGTTGTGGGTTCCATTCCCGATGAGGACATTGGATTTTTCAATTTACCTAAACCTTCCAGCCGCACTGTGGTCCTGGGGAGCCTCGACGTCTCACAACTCTGTAGGCTTCCACGGCCTGTTACAAGACAGCTTTATCTTTTTTTTTTCTCGTGATGAGCGCTAACCGGTTGGTCACGATTCATTGTTTTCTGTGAGGTAGGAACTGAATTCTTAAATAATAATTAGGTAACGTTCGTGATTCAGTGGGATGTGACATTTGTTCTTCGCAGAGATCAGAGAAAAAGCGATAACATTAATTGTTAATATATATTCCTGGCATTCCTTCGGAGGTAGGTAGAGAAGGGGCGCTTTACACGACAATACTACCAGGCTTCATGGCAGTAGACCTCCAAAGAACATTCTGACATAAAATGAAGATTGAGAGTTACACTTGAAGGCCTCCGAGGATACCGGCGAAAATGGGAAAATCATTGCGTTGGAGCATGCCTTCAACAAATCGCATTCCGTTACTGACTGCGGGAGAGACCAGGGCCTTGCTGGGGTACAGAGGAACAGGACACAATGACCCCATCCCACCGTGTTTCACGAGGATGAAGACGGGGCTGTACTTGTTCTTGGCATGTCAGACGTGAAACTGTATACGCATGCGCGGGCAGTACATCACCCTGAGCACGCCGTTTCTGTAATATCTGTGCATNTCTTCATAGTCACCGCCGTGAAAGCCTCAAATCTTACATAATCTCAGTTAGTTACAAGAGGGCCAGAAGATGAAAGCAGTAAATTGCAGTGGTTCAACTAGTATAGTGGTGGGTGCCGTGCCACAAGTCAGGCGGTCAGTCGCCGTCTTCCCACCGCGGCGGCTCGGGTTCGATCTCAGGTTAGGTCATGCGGGATATGTGGTGGACAATGTGGCATTGGGGCAGGTTTTCTCCGAGTACTCCGAACTGGTACAGTAGGCCAAATAGCGGCCGACATACCAAGCGGACTCATTCTCGTGCTCCCTAAAGAAGCTTAAAGGAAACAAGTTTTGTAATGTCAATGGAGGCCTACACATTCAGTACGCAGGCGTGACTTGGCTGCAACCGCCATGATACAGACTCGGAACAGTTTGGCCACTTACCTTGTAAATTCCGTATATGAGCAGGAGAGATGACAGGACCCCACAGCACGCACATGCCAGCAGCACCACGTTCAGCACCATGGAGGCTGCAACAGACACCAGAAAGCTTCCTGCCGTCACGTGACTAGAGACGAGGTTTGGATTGGTAACCAGATTTATTGGACACTTACATTCGTAACTGCACATAACTACGACAGTCTGAATGAGTCACACAGTCCAAAGATCTCTGTAGCTACAGCACACATAAAGTTTTTTCAGTCTTCACTAGCCGTTGCTTAGTGGCGGCTTCGAACGGCAGACGTTTCGCTTCCTCTGGGATCCCGAAATCTCCCCAGTTTCAGCTATCAGCTTTTCACTTCTCACAGCTCTTCTCTAAACTAATAGTCCCTGTTATACAACCCCGACACGGACCGCAGAGAAAGTGTTCTTTCTGTGCCAGGGAAACAAGGTGTCAACAGAGCTGTTCCCTAGCAGCGACTTATACTGCCGCCTGCTTACACAGCTGTTACGTGGAAATGGGTGTACACGTCACAGTATGCTCCACGTATGGGCGGCCATAATGTTAATAAAGTCCATTTACTCCACGAATCAGAGTACGCTAAACCTCGTGAGGGCAGCTTATGGATGTCGCTTGTTACACAACACGCCATGCAAACGTATGGGGGAGTGAAGGTTTTTTTTTTTTAATTCGCTTAGTGGGGGGTGGAGTCCAACTGACTCCACTCGGCACGGCCGCCACTGATTGACCTGCCCCGGGTGATTATGATTATGGAGAATTTGGTGGAATTAAAATTGGCAGGGGCAACCGAAGTACTCGGAGAAAACCCGCCCCAGCGCCACTTTGTCCACCACAAATCCCACTTGACCAGACCCGGGTTTGAACCTGGGCCGCCACGGTGGGAAGCCAGCGACTAATTGCTTGAGCTATGGCGCTGCCCAGAGTGGAGGATTAGGTCTGTGCCTACCTACAGGTATATACTTCCGGACCCAAGGAAATAGTCCCCAGTACCCGTTGCATAGGAGGCTGTGTGGGCCCCAGAGCCGGTCTGGATAGTGTGAAGAAGAGAAAATTCTCTTGACCCTGCCAGGAGTCGAGCCCCATTCTTTTATTTTCCAGTCTGTAGCTCAGATGCTGCACCGGCTGAGCCAGTAAACCTAAAGATGGAAGCCGGAAAAGAGGAAATAATTCTTACTGGTGCGCCAAAACGAAATTTGATCTGCAGATTTAACATAAATCCTTTGAGTTGTGTTGGAGATGTACGTGGGGGTGTGTGGACATTTGTGCTGTCGGCACTGCTAAGGCAGCCTCCCCCAAGTTTAAATTAACAATTGTTATGCGCCGTCACTTGGCGCCTGAGCGCTCCCCGCACCCGTGTTGTGTGCGCTGTTATCAAGTTCCCCTCCACTGGGCTGTTCTAATTGGCAGCGACGTAGCGTCATACAGGAGAACGCTCATTTTTCTGCGATGGAAGGCGAAGGTTTTAAGTTTTGCACATAAATTGCAGAGCGATTAATTATTCAGCCATGGGCGAGTTTTTCAGACTGGAGCGGCGAGCTCATATTGCGAGACAGATACACGGCCCTCGTCTCACGTAGCGAGATCAGTGCTTGATCGGAAAACATGGTCCTTATTCAGTGGAATCATTCTAAGCTAATGGTTGCTCACCTAGTCAAGAAATTCCTCAAATTCCATTCAAACAGAAGGTTCAGTACCGAGTTAAAAAGAAGCCCGCCACTGCTTTCTGTTCTAAGCCAGTTTAATTCGGACTGTAATCTTCACCGGAATTCGCTTTGATTAATTTTAATATTAACCTCACATCGAAGTGGGCCACGCGGTGGCGTAGTTTGGTTGAGGTATTCTACAAGCCGGAAGGTCATAGGTTCGATTCTCGATGTGTTGTATTTTTCAATTGACCTAACCCTTCCAGATGCACTATAACCCTGGGGTCGACTCAGCCTCTAACAGAAATTAGTACCGGGAAGATTCCTGGGGGTAAAAGGCGGCCGGCGCGTAAGGCTGACAACCTCACCGCCATCTGTGAGCCAATTGTCTAGAGAAAATATGGGAGCCTCGACGTCTCACAACCCTATGGGCCTCCACGGTCTGTTACAGGGACAGCTTTACCTCTTTTACTTTTTACCTCTAATCAATGTCAAATTCTTCCAAATCGTGTCTTTCCTTCGGGTTTTCGAACAGAACTTGGTATCTACTTATCTTCCATTTCATGCGTGCTGCATGCCGTGCCTACTTCATCTTCCTAATGATATTTAATGGGAAGTAAGACTTATGTTCTCATCATGCAACTCTCCTTCCTCGTGTTGCTGTTTCCCTCTGGGGTTCAGATAACCCCCTCGGCACCCTGTTCTCACCCACCCCAGCGTGTGCTTTTCCTTAATTCTAACAACTAACAGCAACATTAACTGGTTGGTCTTTGTGACGGAGATAGAGCTCGTTCTCGTTGTGATTAAAATAAAATATAAAGTTGTTGCTTAATCGAGCACAGCACAATGAAGGCGTATAGGGGAGTGGTGCTCAGCTCCACGCAGTTTTAACCTCAGTACTAGGTGGAGGTGAGTGGTTATCTTCACACTACGACCAATTTACCCCCGGGAAAATGTCCCAGTGCCCATTGCGTGAGGCTGGGTGCTCCTTAGAGCCGGTCTGCACGCTGTGGAAAACATAATCTTTAGCATTTGAGTTTGTGACGGCAGTGGCTGTCTTGTAGGGTGTGACGCCGTACTGTCCGGTAGATATTTATCAGCTTTTCGGAGGAACTTGCTGCCTCCTTAAGGGTAAAGGATGGACTTTTTCTGTCCAACTGCAGGGATCGGCCAGTCCGTAGCTAGGCTGCAGGAGACCTACTTACTGGGGGAGATGACGTCGGGCTCCAGGAGGCTGTCACTCTGAGGCTCGGTGTGGTTCCCACTCCAGTAGAGCTGCTCGGAGTGGACGAAGTGCCCCATTATCAGCACGGTCACGCTGAAGTAGCCCTGCAACATACAGTCCACTCTGGGCAGGCACATGCTTCAGACGTCACAATCTGCTGCTCATGTTCTAACGGCCACGCGGTCTATTCGCCCTCTCAAACACTGGGATCATGGGTTCGAATCCAAATCAAGGCATGAGTGTCTGTGTGTAGGCAGCGGCCTCGCGACGGGCTGATCCCCATTCAGAAGAGTCCTACCGACTGTGTATAGGATTAAGAAACTACAAAAGCGGTCAGTGCCCAACGAAGGGCTGTAGAGACATTGATGAATGAATTGCATTTCTAATGATGAAGTAACGATGTACGTCACTGCATAATGATGGCGCCTCCTCAGACATACTTAACCTGAACAAAGTACGTTCACATCATGGGCCTGTGGATTGTGACGCCGTGTAGACTTGTAGGCTGATACCGATATTTCGTATGTTTTCTTTCGGGTTGAACGTGTAAGGCGAGGAACTGACCCTGTTATATAGGCAACCCGTTTCTCACTGTGCATACTTTAGCACTGAAGATGGAAAGCCTAAGCCTATAAGACTACACGGTGTCAAATCCTAGAACACCATCATCAGAATAACAACAGCCATGAAAACACAAAAAAGAGACTTTTAAATTACGTGTCAGTGCTGCAACTATTTTTCGTAATTCGTTTGCATCTAGTGTCAAGGTGAAGATGCGTGGAGCTGTGCCTCCACTCTGCCATACGCCTTCATGATGTGTTGATTAGTTAACTACAGATATGTTACGCATATCTCTCTATTGCGTGCTGCTTGCCCTGCCCATCTCACCTTCCTTGCAGTAGGCTCTGTTATTTAGCTGAACGTCAGGCCTGCTGGGTGACACAGGAGACGAGTGGCATCAACCGGTCTCTTCAGAGCCGACCTGGTCTCTGGGTGTACGTGAGGGAAATTGGGGACAGTGATGGGAGGCAGGGTGACACAATATACTGAAGGCCGCCTCACTACCCAATTCACACCCTACAACCCTTATCACAGTTAGTGGGCTGGACCAAATCCACTGCGCATTGTATCTATGCAAACGTTTCGGGAGGATCTGTTGCCTCCATCGTCAAGGTACAAGTGAGAAGTATGAGTGTTCATGTAGAAGTAGTTTTTGATCAAACAGACCCATTGGGAGGGGCCGGAGGGGGTCGGTGCCCCGTTCTGGTCAATAGGGTGGGTGCACAGACAGAACCTTCGGGAGAATATGGATTGGATTGGCACACGGCAAGGAAATATCGGGTTACGTTGCAAAGCTCTTGAGTGGCTGAGGGACTGGTAGCTCCTCCAGAAAGACTCCACTGCGTGTGTGAAGTTGCTCTGGCAGATCAGTCAGAACAGAGGCATGTCCGCACCTGAGCTCCGTTATCCGTCGATTTTCTGTAGGGCGGAGGCTGGGGAGCATGCCCCAGCGGACAGAAAGGTCACGGGGTAAGGGCGGGCGATACGAATTGTCCCCTGTGAAGAGTTTCATTGAGACCGCCCTGTGCGAGGGCGCCTCCTTCCTCACAAGGACTGCGCTGAGGTGCCGCTCAGAGACTGAACTGTACGTCTCTTCGTTGAACGGTCTCAGCTGCTTCTCCACAGGTCATGGATTCGATATTGGATATATTGATCACTTATGCACACCGTTCGGAACTACAAACAATTACAGCGCCACCGCTAATCTGCACACTTTAGACATAACTGCTGCAAACATTAAGTCTTCTCCAGTGTGAATTGCCTTCAACAGCCGTTCCATAGCAACGGCTTCTAACAGTGGAGAATCTTCAGTTCCCCCACGCTCAGGTCCTTCCTGTCCAGCGAATATCCCCATTTCCCTCAGCTGGCCCGGGGTCCCCGTTATGTAGCCTCAGGATGGGCCCAACAAGAAACACCGCCTCCAACAGTTCCTCTGTTATTGTTATGGGCGGTTGCCTAGCGACAGCCCGGATATTATTGAGGTGTTTGTTTCCACGGGAACGTGTTTACCGAGACGTTGCTCAGACACGGTCGTTTTATATTCGCCTATTGCAGATCAACAGCTGTGAATGTTACAATATAGAGGGTGTCCCAGGAGGAATGTGCCAGACTTCGGGAGGGTGTTCCTTATGTTAAAGTATGCCGATATAACCCAAAACACCTATGTCTAAAGTTGAACGGTTACGGAGATAATGGCCAGAGAAGTGTGAAACTTTGACAGGTGTTACACACATGTTGATTACCAAATACATATTAAAACTGGCAGGAATATGTGGTTTCTGTAACGTTAATAATGTACGTAACATCAAACTAACTTGTGAATGACATGAAGCCATTAAATTGGACTACAATAAACTCGCACGCCATGTCAGAGTTGTCGTTACGAGTTCCAAGCACTATACATGACACATGAATGGCAAACGCTGACATAACATTGCTGACTGCGCGTTCTGGTATGCGAGTGTATGGGGCTAACGTGAGCTGCCATCACCACACTCAAGGACAAACATAGATAAGACTTTTCAGCTGACAGGTACAGTGCGTGGACCCGCCAGAAAACCACACTTTTCTCGGGCCATTATCTCCGTAACCGTTCAACTTTGGACATAGGTGTTTTGGGTTATATCGGCATACTTTAACGTAAGGAACACCCTCCTGAAGTCTGGCACATTCCTCCTGGGACACCCTGTATATAAGAGTTTAATAGCAGAGTCATGCAATACGCGTGTGTCCAACTAACACGTTTCGACCCTCAAATGACCATTCTCGGTGTTTCCTTGCCATTAGTGTTTGTGTTGGCTTAATGATTTCAGTTCTCAGGTTGCATCTGCCGTGCGTAGGAGGGCCAGCCACGGTCAGTCAGTGACGTAGACCGTTAAGCCGTCGTTACACGTGGTCAGCACACTTCCGGTGTTCATATGCCGCTGGAAAATTCAAACTCACGGCAGAACTGCTACACAAGGTGCGCCCGACACAGGAGGTGGGCTTCATGTCTCCCAGCGGCCTCCTTAAGGAAGAGAATTTGCTCACAAGCGCGCAGCAGTTTCGTGGCAACGTTTGCAAGGCTTGGCGAGCGACTCGTATTGCTGTTTGTCTGCGGTCTGCAGTAGAGAGAGATGTAGCGAAGTTGGCTAATGCAAGCACGCTGCTGCTGTGGTCTAGAATGTGACTCCGTATAGTCTTGTTCATATGTTGGGGGAAACTTCTGCCTCCATCTTCACGGCAGGGAAGTGAAGACAATGCTTAGGCTTAAAAGCGAACCAGTGGGTTGGGGAGTTCCTGAAGTATCTACCAGACTACGCGGCGTCACATCCTCGAATAGAGTGATGTTCGTGAGAACCGCGTCTCAACTCGAAGGCAGATCGGCTTGGGGATTCTGACGCCTCCGTCCTTCAGCTCTCTTGCTCTTATTGGTTCGCTCAGAGATCGCCCCTCCCTCCCCTCTTCTCATCTCCTCCGTTTCCTCCGAAACGTAGCTAAACATAGGGGGTCACGACGCCATATCATACAAGACAGATATAATCAAATTATTGATTTTAATCTTTCACAGTTGTTCATTGCTGATCCCGAGTCTTCTGTTGGTTTTCGCACCATGTGGATGTAGGCAGTATCGCCGATGTTTCGGAGACAAATCTGCATCCATCGTCAGGGTTGAAATGTGTAGAGTGGACGAGTTTCTGTGTACGTATACACGTCAGCCCTGAAGATGTATGCAGTTTTGTCTCAGAAACGTCGGCAGCATTGCCCATATATGCACAATATAGACACCCAGGAGCTGAAGTAACGTTAGCTCTTGATCACCGTGAGAACTGAGAACCAATGATGTACAATTTCCTGTGCCCAGGCTTTTGGAGAGCTCTCAGAAGCCCAGAGCATTGTCTTAAGCTGGACATGACCCTCTCGCAGCGGTACTGGCATATACCGCCGTGGAGTAAGGTGGCAGTCAACCGACGTTTCGGAGGAACATAACGCCTCCATTTCCAGGGTCGAAGGGTAGGCCAAACGAGAAACCAGCATAAGAGACAGTAAGCAGTATGTTCCTCCGAAACGTCGCTTAACTTCCACTGGACTCCACGGAAGTATATCGCAGAAAACAGAACTGTTTATTCAATGCTGTATCCCTGTAGCAACTTTAAATTCAATTCTTGCAGTCGAATTCGCTCATGCTTTAATCCTATGCAGAATATTGATCAGGGGCTCCACAAACTGGTCAGGTGTCACTGGGGGGAATTACCGACTCGTGTGGCGGGAAAGGGCGTCATGGCTGGAAACATGGATACATCACTGTACCACCTGGGATACTTCGAATGTAAATGGGAGGTTGGGGTCGCATATTCAGTTTTATCTGTTAAATAAAATTGAAATGCAAATGGGACCCAAATTAAAAATGAAAACACGCAATTTGCTCTTTGTTCGAGCTGCATTCGATATATGCCTATAATGATATGAATAACACGAGGGCGCGCAGGCGCGCACACACTGACCACTGGCATCATTAACTACCCAATTTACTAATGGTCTGTTCAGCTGACTAACTAGCTAACTAACTAACTAACTAACTGACTAGATACTTAACTCTCTAAATAATTATCTGGCTGATTACAGAAATATTTTATCTCCTGATTGTTAAATTATCTAACGGATGATCCGTCTAATTAACTCACTCATTTATTACCTATCTAGATCCGTGTGGAGGCGGGTTAGAATACCTCCACCGTGGCCCTGCGAGTCGTAGAAGGAGAGAAAAATACAGGGACCTGGTACCCCAGGTTGAGGGTTGGACGCAATGCTGACGACTTTGCTCTGTAAAAAAAATATTGTTGAAAATTACGAGGAAATGAGCATGGGATGGTCTAATTCACGATTAACTTGCTGATTTTTCCGATGATGATGATGATGATGATGATTACGATGATTACCTAGCTATATATGGATCTACAGCCCTTGTGTACTTTGACCGCTTTTTAAGTTTCTTAATCCTTACGCAGTTAATAAGTTTCCTTCGACGGGGGATCAGCCCAACGCAAGGCCGCTACCTACACAC